TCCATGATATTGTGTAGGATTGATTGGTATCAGCAGATTCTCAGTCGTAGCTGGAACAAATGATGTTGCTCAAGTGTCCCAGATTGCTGAGTGCGATGCAAATAGTTTTTTTCTGTGTGGTTATGTGGATAGTGCTGGATTAGATGGGCTGATTGTTTTGCTCAATATTATGCTATGGTACACCCGGTAACTGCAAATGGAACTGCGCACTTGGTCACACACCCTCCCCCTACCCCACTACCCCCACCCCGCTCGGTGTCTGAACCCACCACCAGGAAGTGCTCCAAGACGGTATCCTACGTGAAGGATGCTTATATTGTTGTCATCATCATTTACATTTCTAAATAGATGCCGATATATTTTAGAATTTCCCACTGGAATGGAGAGTTCCTATTTTACTACGACACTGGAAAGTGCACTGCTACATGTTACTTTGATCTTACAGCAGTTGATCTGGTTTTACTTTTTAAAAATGTAAATATGTGTAAAAGGAAACTAACCACCTGATTGTGAATGTTATATAAAGGGAGTTATCTGCACATTTTACTGCTCCCACTTTGCATTCTTTGGAACTTCTGATTTAAAAAAAAATGCTTTCCTTCCAGCAGTATTATAGATATGGGTTGGTACCCACAACCCACTGTCTTGAAGAACAAACAGTCTCAGGGATATGTTCTAACAAAATGTGAATTCCCAAGGTCTGCCTCTAAAAACAAAATCAAAGGAAGGCGGAATAATACCTGGAGGTCGCTAGATTTTGCCCTTTAGATAACATTTCAAATGATATGGCAATTCGGATGAATAGTTTCCCCTTTTTAAAAAAATTAAACAAGCATTTTTTAGTGCCTACAATAAAACATGTCCACAAAATTTGTCTCGACGTTTGTTGCTTTTTTTACATTTTGTTTTTTTTTCTACATAACAAACACACAGACACACACTGTGATCTTACATGGCTCCATAGAGCGGTTGAGACATTCACATACTCTGCCTCAAGAAACAGAGCCTACGAGGGAACAATTACCAACCGAACTTCTGGAGTTCATTATTGGATCGTGTGACTTATACATTACTTACACACTAACAGAAATCTTTTTTTCTTCTTTAAGGTTTTTTTTTAAGTGACCTTCACAAAGTGCAGTTTATCTAATTAGCTGCAGAAGCTTTTTATAATGAAACATTTTACAAGGCCACGTAGCACAATACAATGAAAGGAAATCACTTGTCTTATTTTTATTTTAAATAATTGCTTTGCACTTTCCCTTTTTGCGAGAGGTAAGCTTCTTCATTGGTGATACATACTACAGTTCATTTACTAAACTGTCACTGGTAACTTAGGTATTTACAAATTCAAGCATTTCAAGATAAAGCACCCAGAGTCATCAGCATTTTTGAATTAAATGTAGCCCAGTGTTGCTTGGGTGGAATTTATTAATGCAAAGCTTGACTATTATTTGCTTATTGTTCTCTTCTGATGCATAACATCATCTGGTGCATTGACAAACAAGTAAGATTAGAATTTACATAGTGGAAGTGCATCTTTCGAAACCCTATTGTTAGACACTTCAGCAATCAGAGGAAATGAGAACCTCATCCCCTATAAAAATTAAAGACATTTCTTAATTTCATTGAAAATGGTAACATTTACAGAGAATCCTAACTCGGGATGGAGGTGAGATATTTCATCAGAATCAATGACCTCACCAGACAATAATTACACGCTCCTCATCTGATCCTATTTCTAGGGATTGTAAACCCAGACAGGACCAGAAGAAATTGCACTGTTCAATGCGGATTTGATATTTGCTACACACTTGGTGTGATGGGGGATCTGCGTCATATATGAATCTGCTATCTACTTTCCTGCCCACGTGAAATCCACAGCAGTTTAGAAATTCATAAACAGTTTTTTCTTCTGCAAAGCTATCTTAATCTTTACCTCAAACTCGGTTGGATACACATGGCCTTCCCCATTGCCTTGGACCCATTTTGTTCCAAAGAGCAGATGTTCCAAGAACAATAATCCAGCGCTCTGGGACACTACCCTGTGTGAAGGGCGCTATATAAATGCAAGGTGTTGTTGTAATTAATGGTCAATTTGGCCATCTGATTGGCCTCCAACCACAATTTTGGGGTCTAATTGAGGTGACGCCTGCAAACTGGGCCGTGGCTCATAGCAACCTGCTGCAGCACTTCTATTCTGAAACAGAAAAGCACGTATTATTTTCCAAATCTAGTTAAGACTTTACATAGCAGATTAGTGCTGAAGGTAGAAGAGGGCACATCGGTGACTTGTCTGTCATTGATTCTGCAGGACAATGAATGGATAGAGATATTCATGCAACTAAACTTGTGTATAGATTTATATATTTATATATATATATATGTTACAGACGCGTTGTGGATCCTGAAAATTCACTCCAAGGTTTGTTGCCAGTATAGATCTAGCTTCAAATGTGATGGGGGAGCGTGAGAGTGAGAGCTTAAATGCATCTGCACAAGGTTTTGCCGTTGATGGACGTTGTACATACAATTGCAGACAAAACCAAATCTATCGCTGAGGTCTCTGGGTTCTTTGAATCCTCTATTGTTGAACACACTACAGAACTGTGGGAATCAATGGGGAACAAAAGAACGGGAAACATTCTTGTGGCCGTCTGGGAATGGCGACATTGACTTAACGCACGGCTCATTGACACAACAAGACAAGACCATTGGGTTTACTGCTCTGATACAACTCTGCCTACTTCCGCCTCTCAAAGTCTATCCTGTTGATCAGATCACACCCACTAGCTTTCTGTAATATGTTAATAACATTTGATTTGTCTCTACAGCAATGCGTTTTATGTAAACCTTTCCTTTAATTAATTGCAACTTCTTATTGTGTGAGCTAACTGATGTTATACAACTCCCCCATCCCTCCCCATCCCCTAATATTAACTAAAATATCAACCTCAGCAAATGAATAGAAAAAAGGATGCATTTGAGAACTCTGTGCTGTTTCTTCCTATCGATGTTGGAGTGATCCAAAGTGCAGTGGTTTATGTGGCATCGTCGCTATTTATTGTTAAACTTATTTATTCAACTATTTATTGTTTCTTGTACTCCCATCTGGGCAACATCAACATTTGAGACTTTAAGGCCATGATGCATTAACTTTCATAATAGAGGCATCGGATAGTGCTGCATGTTATGAAGGCAATACCTAGCACATTGCTTTAAAATAGGCCTTTTTTTGTGTTTAGTATTAAATATTGTCAGTATTTAGCACTCCCAAATAAACCAGGGTGTATATACACACAAACACAGAAGACGTCACCTTCGTTCCCATCAATGTGATCAAGATCCCAACTCCCATGCTAAAGGTGAAACTTACTAACACATTGTCCTCTTGGTGGAAGCAATTGACGAGCAATTCTTACTTGTCAAAAACCCCAATAATGTTATAGTGACTAACTAGCTTTTTTGGGGGTAAGAAAAAAATCTTAATTTTTCACAAAGGCTTTTTTTACCCCCTGCCCCTCTCATCTTTATTGCCAATTCATTGTTAATTGTCTACTTTTAATAGCAGGCAATAAGGGATGGGGATGTTGTTTCAAGTGACACCCAAGTGAACAGAGTAGAAGTGCGAAAGGATTGCGGAGTCTAGGCTGAGCCTCAGAACTCCAGGTAGAGTGGAGAGTGAGGTGGAGGGAAGCATCCCAATTTCTCTGAAAGGCGAAGAGGAGGGAAATTAGCAATGAGCCCCCTTTGGGAATCTGGGACCCACCTGCTGGGGGCGCCATCTGAACAGGAGAGTGGAGGGGAAATCAATTAGAATGGTTTTAATGGGCCAAAGAAAAAGGAAATGTGAATATGGCTTAAACGTGCAAAGCCTCAAAGCCTCTCTCTCCGCGGTTTAACCGATTAAACGTTTTGCTACGGCATGGGAATGGTTTTACTTGACGAGATTCATTCAATTTATTCTTACACCAAAGTGGAGATCTTCTAACTGCCCTTCACCTTGAGTGAGGTGGCTGCTTACTTTATCATCATATCTCAATGTATACTTTATCTGAAGTCCTACTCTGAGCCTTTGAAATAGGTTACAAACAAGGGCTCTGTTTTGAGCACAGTAACCTCTCGGCAAAGGTGTAAAATACAGGAATGACGCATCTGCTCAGTTGACTGGTTCGCAGGTTTATGTCCTTAGTTTAAAAGTTCTGAACAAATACAGTTCCACATGCTGCTCTGGGACTCATAAATTTCCATCGGAATCCGAATTGTTAGCATCTGCTGCTTTCAAATGCATCCTCCAAAGCAGGTGGCTCCTACAATCGCCTCTTTCTTGCTTGTAAATCCTTATTGAACCTTGATTACTTACCAGGGAAGATGTATTGGTGTTTAGTATATACAGACTTTATAAGACTTTTAGATTTGTATTGGAGATTGGTACCAATCTGTGTTTCACAATCAGATAATCACTGTCCATATGAACCAGTGAAACTGTTCCCTGTGAAAACAATGGCCTGAAGAGTCAGGAACACTGAGGGTATAATAAAAATCAAGAGCCAGCCTTTTTCTCACTGAGAGAACTTTCAAGAATCTTTCTCATGTCACCTGTGTGCCTTTACTGTAATAGCCTTTACTCACTCACTCCTCCCTAACTCTTTGCAGCAGTTTTTTCAGGGGAACTGATATTAGATTGGAATGAATAATTCATTCATTCACTCATTCATTCATTCATTAGTGTAGATTCCCTGTGCAAACACAACATTTGGTCTGCCTGACTCTTCTATTGAATACAGGGAATAGCTATGCAATCAAATACATTTTCTGCGTGTGTATTTTTTAAACGTTGTTGGTTCTTTTTAAAAAAAAGTGTCAACATTTAACTGTGTGGGGCCTGAACTGAAAATCAATGACGCGAGTGTGAGATGTAGGCAAGTGAGTGTTCATTCAAATCCAACGCAGCGCCTCCTACTGGTGGCTGTGGAGCCCAGTCGCTGTCAAGCAGCAGGTCAGTTGGGCAGGCTGTCAAGTCCCAGGGAGGCTGCGTGCTGCTTGGCTCGGAGCCGCAGGTTCTCGATGCTCGTGGTTTTGCTGTTGAGGTTGGGCAGGGTGCTGGAAGCTTGCAGGATAGGGCTGGACCAAACTTGCTGAGCGTGCGACAGGGACTGGTAGTAGGACTGGCAATGGAGAGAGCTGATGGGAGCCATGTTCATGTTCATGCCCAGGTAAGGCATGGCCGGTGGGGTCCCCATGTCGAAGGAAGAGTAGTGGACGAGGTTGTTGGTGGCCGCCATGTGCTGGCGAAACTGCTCCTGGAGTCGGAAGAGACTCAGGGGAGACGAGGAGTAGGAGTGGGTTTGCACCATGTTACTGCCGCTGCTGGATGCAGGTGTTCCTACTGTGGTGTTTGGCGAATCTGTATTTTTTTAATAAAGAAAGATAGAAATAATTATTTGGTCACTCAATCCAGCGCTGTTTGAGGGACATTGCTGTGCACAATTGGCTGCTGCATTTTGCCCACAAAATATACAGTCAATTCACTTTACAGTATATTCTGTGAAATACTTCCAGACATCTCAACGATGTGATAAGGTGCTATATCAAATTCAAGGATTATTTATCGGGGACACATCGTGTATATGTTACGGTCAGGAGGATTTTAATTTTTCTGGTGTCGCGGTTCGATTTGATCAAAACTAAAATCATGGCAAATCCGTTTTTCCTATGAATTTCCAAATTCCCAGACGTTGCTCGAAATAACATTCCAAATTGTCAACGTTAATTAGGACCAGAATAGTCTGCCCCCACCCCCATATAACAAATAGCAGGGTTTGTTATTTAGATTTACCGGTATTTGTCTGTAAAAGGTGCGTGGCCTTACACACTCAGAGAATGCTAAATACTGTACTTGACCTTTAGTGCACATTGTGCAGATTGATGCTCTGACAACCACTATTGTTCCGCCAATTGAAGGGTTCTTCCCACCATCTTTGTTGAAAGAGCGGGTGTAATTCCTTTACTGCTGTAATCCCCCCCCCCCCCCCACTCCCACCACTCCCCTGAAGGATGCAGGGCACTTCCCTGCCTAAACTATTCAGAGGACTGAGGTTTTCCTCATCCTTCCCGTGAATCCTGAAGGTGGAGGGCGATTCTCTTGCTCTCTCGTTGAGAAGAATGGGGCTTAATCTTAGCCCTGATCCTCATTTTTAACCCTACACCTATCAGAGTGAGAAAGAGAGAGAGAAATAGAGAGAGATCCATCCTAAACATCTGTAACAGCTTGAAACCCATTTCCTTAAGCAAAGTCAGGTTTCTCTGGGACAATGTCACCAATCTCTCCGTCAGGTAAAGAACTCTTCATTTACCATTTGACAGCTGGACAAAAATGGTCACATTCTAAGAAGTTCAGGAAACTTAGACGATAGAGTGTTTTGAGGAACAGGAAATGATAAAAAATTCAGCTAGGTTTTCAGCTAGACACAGGTAGGATCAGCCAGACACAGGTAGGATCAGCCAGACACAGGTAGGATCAGCCAGACACAGGTAGGATCTGGAGCATCAAAGAAGAATATCACTGAAACCTAAATCAAAGTTTTCACCAGCGAAAGGGTTTTTAAATGGTTCCACTCTAAGTTCCTTAGTGACCTGCAATTAATTCAAACACTCCTCTTGTAAATGCACCTGGTGACCACAGAATCACATTAGCTTGTAGTCAAACAAAGGCCTCCTCAGCACTGACAGAATCCTGGTTTCATTCATCTGTGTTTGAAACCCGATGAGCTGTCAGAAAACTAATCACTGGAAATATGATCTTTATCTGATCAAAACCAATCTGACACCGACGCCAGGCGATTGAGTGGAAAATCCTATCCAAACTTCCCCCCCACCCAACTTCCTTTAGAGGGCTGTTTAACTATTGAAGTGCCAATCTTTTCAAATGTTTGCCCACGAGAGACTAACAGAGGCTGTGGGTTGGAACAACGCAGCACAAATTCCAGAGATGCAGTGATCCAACTGGAATGCACTAAGATGGATCAATATTGTTTCCGGGCTTTTGATGGTCTCAGAGTCTGACTCACATTAACCACTCCTCAAGGTCGGGTATTATTCTCCTGCTCATTTTCTTTACTATTTCCTTATTTTTGTGTTCCTCGTGTCAAGCTGGCTCAGTTGGTGACCCTCTAACCTCTGGGTCAGAAGTCCCAGCTCAAACACAGGTTGAATCATTGCACATGCAGTTTGTTTCCGATCTTCTGAACCTACCTGATTTGGGGCTGCCACGTTTACAGGTTGCTGACTTGCTTTCGGGGCTGATGTTTTTTTCATGCTTTAATTCATCTGTTGGCGACTTAAACTCTCGCTCCCTATCGATCTGTTCCTCCGCTGACGACTCACTGTCTGATTGCTCTGCCGAGGTGACGTTCAACTCAACGTGGCTGGGTTCGCTCCTGGGTTGGCTGTGCCCCTCGATGGCTTCTGAGCAGGTTTGGGTTTCAGTGGCCGGTTTCTCAGATTTAGCTTCATCCTGGCTCATTTCAGCGTCTTTCTGCTTCTGGAGCTGCTCTTTCTGCAGGCTACGTTGCTTCTTTCGGAACTTGGCGCGTCTGTTTTTAAACCACACCTAAATTATACAGCAAACGGAATGACAGGAGTGAGCTGACGATTTGGTTCTTATTGTGTCAATATCAATAAATAATAATAATCCTTGCATTTGATACAGCGCCTTATCCCGTCTTTGAGACGCCTCGATGATATATTATGAATAGATAGCTTAACTTAGATAGGTAGGACATATTAGAAAACTCGCTAAACAGATAACAACAACAACAAGATTATATTTGTATAGCACCTTTCACGTCGGGAGGACGTCCCAAGGCACTGGATAAGGATATCGATAGCATAGAACAATAGATTATGGATTGATAGACAGACAGATGGATTATTGACATACCAACCACATTGTGCTTCACCCCACTCCTTCCCTTGCCTCCTTCAAGGCCCGTCTCAAGACCCTCCTCTTCGACCATGCCTTGAGTCACCCTCCTACCCCTGCCCTCCCTGCACTGCGTAAGTGTAATTTATTGCTGTTGATATAGCTAGAGAGGATTGTAGATAGCTGGTCTGAGGACCAAACAGAAGTCCTTGACATAGGTTGTATGTTTGTGTGTGTGTGGGCGGGGGGGTTCATGTACCTGCACTCTAGCTTCAGGCAGGTTAGTGCACATGGCCAGCCTCTCCCTCATCACCACATCTGGATAGTGAGTTTTCTGGAAAGTCTTCTCGAGGGCTTCCAACTGTTGGGCAGTGAAGGCTGTCCGACTTCGACGCTGCTTACGGTGCTGGGAACCGTACCTCGCCTCGAGGATAATGTCTTGAAATGCACAGCCGTTGGAAAGGAAAAACACATCTAGTTTAATTATTGGGAAAACAAAAACCTCGCTTCTGGGAACGCGTTTGTCTATGCATGTCATTTTCCCCTGCAAATCATTTGCTATTTGGCTCCCATTTCTGTTACTCTTACTCCTGTTGCCATTATTCCAACCCAAACTGTGATATTTAGTGTGTTGCTGGAGCTTTCACAGCCAATTTCTTGCAAGTCACCCTGGCTGGAGTGAAACACACGTTTGTGCGCCTTCTTGGCTCTTGTTGTGAACATCACTGCCACCAATCAGGCTTAAGTGAGATTGATACAAGGCCCCAGCTCTTAAAAACACACTGTTATTGACCATTTAACATTTCATTCAAAATATTCTACAAAATATTCGGAAAAGATGTCAATGCTAATATGAATTTTGGCTGCAACAGTTTGAGATTAAAAAGAAATATTGATGTTCGGAGTTATTCATTTAAAATGTCGATTTCGCAATAACCTAAACAAAGTGAGTTTAGAATAAGAATAATAATCCGATGTACAGAGTTGAAAAGTGCTGTAAGTATCTTACCAGCGAGTCTCTCGGCCAGGGTCAGGGCATGGACAGATGGTCTGTAATCAGGAGCATGCTGAGCTTGTTGTGCTGCCTGCTGGTGCAGATTGTACATTGCGCTCAGAGAGTTCATAGCATGAAGAGAGTAACCATTGACTCCATAGTGCTGCATGGCTCCAAGCCCTGGAAGACATGGCAAATGTAAAAGGATGTCAACAATGGAATAGCATATTGGATTGGGTGTGTTAATAGACTTAATCGTATATACTTGACCCTCCTTCCCCTCTTTTCCCCTCTTTCAAGTGCTCTGCGAGCTACCCAGCGTGAGGGGCGCTTTATAAATGATGTTCTACATCACAACTGATGATCTTCCTCTTCGACCGCGCTTACAGTCACCTCTCACTCCGCCACCTGCCACCCTCCAGCTCGCCGTCAAGCTCCGCCACCGTTAAGCGCTCCGAGACGCTGTCCCACGAGTGAAGGACTCTTCCCCTCTCTCTCTCTCTCTCTCTCTCTCCCTCTCTCTCTCTCTCTATATATATATATCAAAGAACTTCCTATAAATGGACTGAAAGCAGTTTTACAAAGTGAGTTCAATTGTTTATGTCCGAGGAACATACTAATGATTGGCTACAACTTGTCGATGAAAAAAAATAAGAGTATGACCCAGTTAATACTTTTTCAAAACATAGGTCCTTTTTACTCAGCAGTCAGACTAGTTCAAGGTGCCAACTCCATGTAAATGAACAAAGCTGCTTTGAGAAGTATACAAGTCAAACCTGTAACCTAGATTATCAAAACATCTCAAGTGCAGGTTGAGACTGAAAATTGGGAAGTCTCCGAGGAAGAGATAACTATTAAATTGAAGTACAGACACAACCTTAGGCAAGTTTCCTTATTCCACACGCCTTATAATAATCCCTCCAAAACAATAATAAATTGGTCATTTTCAATCCACGACTGTTTGTGGGACATTGCTGTGTGCAATTGGCTGCCGCGTTCGCCCACAAATATACAGTCAATTTACTTTACAGTCCATTCTGTGAAGCGCTTTGAGACATCTAGAAGACATGAAAAGCGCTATATCAAATGCAAGGATTATTATTATTATTATGATGGACATTGTGCAGAGAGAAAGAGGGCAGTGTGGAGCTGGTTAAACACTGCACAGTTTACAACAAACTATGTTAAACTTATTATTAGGGTTCAGTTTCCCAGGAGGGCATAGACCAGTTTTGGAAGGTAATGATAATCTGGGCATTTTGTTGCACTGAAGTGCTGGGCTTTGGACTTCATGATCACAGCTCTGTCATTGACCATTGACAAAGTCTGGAGGACTTCATGTTACACAGAGGAAATGCGACCAACAATTGGAAAACAAATATATAAAAAACTGTCTTTAAACAAAAATCAAAAATGTTATGATCCACTGGATACTGTAAGATGACAGGAGCGAGTGGCCTTTGAGCTGAATGTCACACACAAATTTGAGGGATAATATTTTGAATGAACGTGAACATTATAATATTTGTCCAACAATTGATTAATTTATTGCTAATTCAAAGTTGCAAAGTCTCTCTTTGCTGGAATTCCCTGCACTCCACTGTGAGAGCAGACGGGCCAGCTCCAATTCACAATTAATCAGGAAATTTGGGGTAAAATAAATCTCCTTGAAGAGTGTGTTTGAAATCAGAAAGCTTTGCTGCAACCATCCCTTCAGGCTTTAAGAATATTTGTTTCAGTGATCACTGATAATATGCGTTTTTTTTTCTCGCGTTTTAGTTGCTTTCAAAAATACATAAATCAATTATAGAAAAGAACCTAGACAGCATTTTTTAAATTACAAATGCATTTGTCAAACAAAGGCTCTGTTTTTCAGGCTGTCGAATTCTGCTTACAGTGCTTGAAATAATCTTTATATTTCATTAAGCAGCCAAATATGTTGCACTCGCCCAGTGGCTGTATTGATGGGTCTCATTTGAGGCCAGCGGGAAACAGGACTCTCTTATTGCCATTCAGTTGGCATAGTCTTATAGCCAATAGTACTAATAGGCCGAGGATAGGGAGGGATTCAGATAGTTTAGCTTTGTTCACTATCAAGTGGGTCTCCATTATAGTAGTTTGAGATTAGGAGTTTCTTCTTTGTTTCACTGTTATCATTTTAAAATGACTTGACCTCTTTAAGTCTGCAATTTCACTTTATTTTTCATATTTGACTCTCACTCAGTTGTTTTGAATCGAACCATAAAGCACAGAGGTAGGTATTGAATATTAGTTATTTAACATTATCGCCTCACGCCAAGGCTATACACGAAGAGAAATATCAATCAGACTCTGCTGCTGGAAGCAATATTGTTGTGATTCCAACAGTATAAAGATGGTATAGGTTGCTCAGGTGGTTTATATAGAAAGTAGAAATACCTGCACAGGAATTAGAAGCTATAATCTAATGGGAGTTTCAGGTGGTTTAATAATGGATACCTAGGATGATTGTGAAACTCTAAGGTAATTATGAGTCTGAACTTGTTTATAAGGAGAGTAATGAGTACCTGTAAGTGATTACAAGACAGTAATCTCATTTATGCCATGCTCTGCGGAAGCAAACTTTAAGTGGTTTCCTGATCTCATCTGAACTCAAAAATGAAATTAATCTTTGAAAACCCTTCAAGGTATTTTTCTAAATAAAATGTACACTCTGTAGAGACATTTTTTGTTGTCTTTTCTCTTTGCTTGTGACAGATTTTATACTGGATGTCAATGCCAGTGTGATAACATCTTTACTGAACAATGATTGATTTGTTCCAAGAAAATATCCATCTGTATATCAATATAATAATAATATAATCCTTGCATTTGATACAGCGCTATTTATCAGGTCTTTGAGACAACTCAAAGCGCTTCACAGAATAGACTGTAAAATGAATTGACTGTATATTTGTGGGCGAAATGCGGCAGCCAATTGCGCACAGCAATGTCCCACAAACCGTTGTGGATTGAGTGACCAATTCATCCCTTTTTTTAAGGAATTATTACCTCTGGAAAAGCGATAAAATGATTATCTAAAATAAAGTGACTAGAGTCCTCAATTTGACAGAAGTAATTCATTGCCACTATGTAGGATGTTTATTTCAGACATTATATAGTTTGAATAAACATGTGAACAATTATTAATAAGAATCAACTTCTCAGCAAAATTGATTTCTATGGCAACTGACTCCGATGCAATTGGAGATTATATGATTATATATAGAATGAGTTGATCAAGTAATTTGAAGGATATATGGGCTTCTATGCTGCTAGGGAGAGGGGTAACAGACCTGAATTCAATGTGGAGAAGTGAGGATATATCAGTGTTTCAGACCTATCAGCTCTTCTCACCTAGAGAAGAGAGTAAAATGCTCTTTTTCCATTAGAGGATCGCAGACAAATCTTTAGGTATGTCCAATAACAGTTTGTAGGTGCATTATACCTCTTATAGATTATCTGAACACAGATGTACATCTACTTGATGAATCTCAAAGAATGATGATGTTCTTCTACAAGTGTACTTAGAACTCAACCCATCACCACAAATCGCACATTTTGAGGACATATGGGTTGCAAATGATCTTTTTGAAAGTACACTGACATTTCTTACAAATACAGCCAATTTGCCATGTCAACTCAGATTGATCAGGCAAGATCTCTCCCTCCGTAATTCTGTCATTTGTTAGATTATGTTCATACATTTACTCTTTCATTTTGCTTCTGATTTATCAATTCAACTTGCTTTGAGATATTAAGGTGAGGCTATTGCAGTTGTAGTTTTCAGGCTGGCTCTGTCACCATCTTGAAACACATTCACCTGTTTCCAAAATCTGTCAGAACCTCCCTATCATTTGTCCATTCCCTCAAAATATCAGTGTGTCACAAATCTCCTCCTTTGTCTCTTGAACTGCCTTCAAGTTTATTGTTTTTCATATAAGTGTACAACTACAAATCATAGCAACACAATATCCAAAAGTATATCATCCCAGCACAATATCGAAATATAGTTAGGCAACATCCCAATATATGACTAAGTTACATCTTAATGTGAAAACATATATTTCCTAGCAATCACACTATAAAATTACATATCCCCACCACTAGAACCATAAACTGTTTAATTTTTATATTGAACACTGTTGATGCCAAAGATCCTTATCATTACAATTCATTATTATAGATTGAATGCTGTAGGTCAATTGAAAGCAGGATAAATGTAATATGACCATTTGTCTGTTAGTGTAACCAAGGCCAGAGCTGTTTGAACATTGTGCTGTAGGGTTAATATGAGTCACACTCATTATTACAATGAAATATGCACCAATAGCAGAAAGTCTCAAGAAATCCATGTGTGAGATTTTACATATGAAATTAAATAATTAGATAACTTACCGCTCAATATTTGTCACTGAAATAAAAAATTGAGTTCAGATTATCCTGACATAATGTATTTATAATATATATAATACATACATACATATATATAAAGTATATATGTGTGTATGTGTTTGGTTAAACTTTGTATTATTTTCTCTTTATTTACAGGAACAATTAAAAACGACAGACTGCAAGATGCATTCAAATGAATAACAATTTATTATGTTGTGTGTAACTGGTGTACCTATTTGATGTACATTGCTCCCACTTTTGTCTTGAGTGTATCTTGAGTGTCCTTCTAGGCATTTCACCAGATGAAGCAGTAGCACTGGTGGATGGCTCCACAGTCAACTCGGGATAAGCAGGGGAATACAGAAAGCTTGCTGTAACTGAAACTATTTCTGATGGACCTGCGTCAGAGTCAGGTGCCTCTGATGATGTGGTTGCTGTGGGCTATGTCCTCAGAAGGAATTCCTATTGCTATTTATGTAGAACAATGTAATGGTAGAGAAGTGTTATTGACATGACTGCCAACTGATTACACCTGTATTATCCTTTCTATGGCACTGATGAAGTAAGTCTCTGGTGGAGGATTAACTCCTCATGAAATGTGTGGGCAAAGAACAGTGAGCGTCTAAGAGTTTTGGAAGCTCCTGTCATGGTTGTCTGGAACTTTCTCGAAGAGGGTTAAAGCCATCAATGCATCATGCAATTTTAACCTCAATACCTTGATAGCAGGAGTGTAAGGCATTTATGTGGAATGCTCCT